GTTTTGTACCTTTGTTAATCCTTCAAACAATATTCCTTCTAGTTTAACTCCCAATCTTGTGTCGCGTTTGAATATTCTTTTAAAGTGTTCCATAACCTCTTCTTTTACTCTTACAGGATCTTGATACCACGTCCCTCTTATCATGATCTCTGGTAGCTCTACCTTGTTTCTTCTCCAACTACTCATAGAGTGGAAAAATTTTGAGTTTATATCCCCTTCCATTATCCACTTATCTTTAATCTTTTGCATCTCCATAGATGCAATCTTCAACATCATTTTTCTCAATTCTATTTGGCACATCATTCTTTCATTCTTCATCCAACGATGTAGTTCGTCTTTACGGTCCATCTCACTTATCTTATTGATCATGCTTTGTTTTGCTAGATTCAAATTCCCTAAGGATTCTCTATTTCATCTCTTCAGGTGATTTTTGAACATTTGTAACTTTTTGGACAAGCTTTTCAATCCCCACCTTAAGAGCTTCGTTCCTTCCCAAAACCCTTTTACCTCATCCCTAAACCTCTTTTCTTCGTGCCATACATCCAGAGATCTAAAAGGTTTGGGTACCCAATCTATACTATTTTATTTAACTACTATCACACAATGATATGAAATACTCATATCTAATATGAATTTCTTACTCCCTTTCCACTCTCGGATCCACTTTGTAGATACCAGGGCTCTGTCTAACCTACTCATTGACGATCCATCTTTTCTATACCATGTGAACTTCCTTCCAATGGCTGGTAAGTCTTGTGCCTCTAGATTCTAGATAAATTCATTAAATCTTCTCATTTCTTCCGTTATTCTACCTCTTTCACTGCTTCCTTTTCTCTCTTTAGGTTTTTTTACGAAATTGAAATCCCCTATCACACAAAAGTTCTTACATGACAAATTTTGAACTACGTGATGTATGTCTTCCCACAACCTATACTTTTTCTTCACTAAGTAGGAAGAGTAAACATTTACCACTGCCACTTTTATGTTCTTTCTCTTGTAGTGGCCCGCTATCGCTATTAAACCTTCTCTTATAATCACATTTTCGCACTCGAACTTCTCCTTGTCCCATGTGCATAGAATCCCTCCTGACCCATTCTCTGCCTGTTTAAATGCTCGTTGAATATTATTATGGTTCCATATATTATAATATACACGCTCGTCCTGTCTTGCTAGCTTCGTCTCTTGTATACATACCATCTCTATCCCTTCCTTATTTATCACTTCCCTTATGTATTTGATTTTTCCGGGGCTCCTAATACCTCTAATATTTATGCTTAGTACACTCATCTATCACTTTCTCTCCCCTCCTCATCTATGTCTTTCAGTTTAATTATCACCGAGTTGTTATCCCCATCACACGAGAATCCTAGCTCTCTGCCTATCTCCTATAATCTAACTGCTTCCTGATACTCTTTATTTAGCCAGAACAATCTATTGCAGTTAACTATGCTATTGTCGTTGATATAGTTACCAGAAAAGAAATCCAACCTCTTCTCCTTGCGCCTGCTTTTGGCCGAGATACCAGATTTTGATTTACTGGCATTGCTTGATTCCCCTCCGCCTCTAATCCTCTTGACACTGTTTTGGATTCCAAATCCCTCGCAAGTCGTTGCTTCTTGATAATCGCTGCCCGTAATCCTATGGGCTCTCGAAGAGCAGGTTCGATTTACTCTCTATTGAGAGTCACATACTAACTCCACCGATTCGTTGTCTGCAGGTGTACGATCAATTCCTTCTTCTTCAATGGAGAGCCGAGTTGCTTCCTTCCTCTTTTCTCCGCTGCCTTGTATTCCCACTGTCTACTCTGAGACTCTGACCACTGATTCGGTAATAATCTTTTGACATGTACGGATTCCGTCCGAATTGAAACAATGAGAATGTGAATTAGCCTCTATTGTATTCGCCACCGTCTTTGCCCTTCGGTTTGTTTCATCCCTTTCGCATCCCGTGCCTTCGTTCATGGCCTCTGCAGGGTACCTCCTCTGTTCTTCCATTACACCAATTGGCTCAATTCTATTTCACAATCTTATTTTGATAATCTTTATTGCAGAAAAATGATATCTCAGTTGTAATTATAGAAACAAGAACAGTTAAAATAAGATGAGTTAAACGATCTATTAAGTAAAATGTACCTGACTTCCTTATTTTTGTCAAAAATTGACATAATTCAAGTATGGTAGACAAATTCTTCAAATCTGGATGATTAGGAGCATCAACTATAAAATGGTGAAGTTGAAATTTTAAGTTTTTAAGTTGGAATTGACATGGACCCCAATTTAAATAAGTTCTTTTAATTTCATCTCTTTGATTCATAAGATATTCATGTATCTGAATACGTTTTCCGGGGTCACGCTCCAAAAAATTAATATTAAATTCATTGGTTTTAATTCTATGAATCTTAGAAAGGGGTTCTTCTAATTGAATAATTGGATCATCAATATCATGCTTTGAAATAGGAGAAGATATTGAATTTGTTTAGTTTTCACCTCTACAAGTATCTCTTTTATCACTTTTAAAAAATGAATATATTCTTTTATGCTTCATATCTAGAAAAAAATGAATATATTATTATTTTTCTAATTATAGAATCATAAAAATTTATAAAAAACAAAAATATTTTTCTCAAACAACAAATGTTTCTCAACAAAAATCAAAATAACAAATAATAATAGAATAAGCAGTGTGAAAAGATGAAGAAAAAGTACCTTTGTCAATTAATATAATTTCAAAGATAGAATCTAAGGAGGAGAAAGAGAGACAAACAATGAATTTAAATATACAAACTATAGAAACAATTTAATACTAATCAATAAACATTATCTTTAGGGAGAGAATATAAAAAGGTGAAAAAAGATGAAGAACTACTTTTAATCTTTCTTATTCAATATATTTCTTAGAAATTATAGAAACAATTAACTACTAATAAAATATTATCATTAATGAGAGAATATGAAAAAGTGAGAGAAGATGGAAATGTCGGACAATAAAATTATTTTTAATCTTTCTTATTTAATTTATTCCTTCAATTTTTTTCTTTATGATATATTTAATATTGGGGGGTCAAAATCATAAATATACGAATAAGTTACAAAACTTTAGAGGAGACCATGACCCCCTTAATTACTGTGAAGATCCGCCATTGAGAAATGATGATGAAAGACATACGGAAGATATTAACAATAATGATAAGAGCTAATTGATATATCAAATAAAAAGAATTGTGATGGAAGAAAAATGAAACGATTATAACTCTACGATATGATAAGTATATAAAATAGTTTAATAGTTTAACGATTATAATTCTACATATATAGAACATTGAAACTATTTAAAAAAAAAATAGTTGAAAAAGAAGAATAAATTTTTATATTATGTTATTTATATTTTATTTTCTTAGTTATACAAATATAAAGTATAAATCAAATCAAATAAGTATAATTAAGTGTTTGACAAATTATATTAAAATATTTAAGAAAATATTATTTTAATAGAATTTTTAGTAATTTAGGTTATTATTTTTATTGATTTTATTTATTAATTTTTATTTTATTTTTGGTAGTTTACTCTTTTTTTACATCTATTTTTCTCGTATATTTATCTCTATCGCACACTTCTATTTTTTTCACATTTATACTTCTTACTATTTATATTTCTCATATATTTATATTTCTATGATTTACGTTTTTCACATATTTATATTTTTGTACTTTAATGTTTGAATTAATATTAAAAATCAGAATTTATAATGATGAAAATTTCATCAAATTAATATGTAAATATTTATTGTAAAATATCAGGATTGTTGTGTTCTAAGTTTAATTTAAACATTTTTTAAATTAATTTTTTTTTACTTACTAATTAAAAAAAAACTCACAAATTCATCTTAAAAAGATAATATGCCTAGAAAAATTAACAGTGGAGTTTTCCAACCATTTTCCACCGATAATGTTTGTTTTTGCATTTTTGCAATTTTATTATTAACAATTGCCGAAACACATGTGCCTTTTGAATTATGGCAAAAGATTAATGGTATAAAAGACATAAGACCTGTAGACAAAAATTCATAATTCTTCTGCAATACAGTAAAAGGGTTCATAATTGACAGCACTAGTGAGAATCGATCCAAGTTGAAGATCAGCATTATGAATAATGGTAAGAACAGTGATGTTTCATAGACATTTTTCTGGAAAAGTCAAGGATGAATCGCTTTGCTAAATAATATTTTGATATTAGAATGCTACGAAAGGGCTATTTTAATATAAACATGATGTTGCAGCTAAAATTTAAGGTAACCCCTCGTCCAGAAAAGGGAACATATCATTCAAATTAATTATGACAAGAAACCTAAATAATTGGAAAATTTAGTTTGACAATTATTTTCAATAAAATAATTTTATATTTTATATTCATTATTATTATACGGAGAAAAAGTGGTAAGTGGTTGTATACATAATGCTCCAAATAATTATCATGGTATACCTTCCATTCAATGTCCCTGTATTATTTAAAAAGTATCAGATTAAATCAAATAATACTAGTGCTATTTTCTCTGGTGCATCCTAATTCGATTTGCCTCACAGATTGGAAATAGTGTGATTAATCATAAGCTCAAAAATAACATAAAAAGTGAGGATTTAACGTGACACTCTCTGATTGGAGAGACAAGGATTGAGGATAGAAATTTCCATCCTTGGACACTGTTTAGGTTTCTAAAATCTACAACACTCAATCTTTAAAAAACACTGATATTATTTCCAATAAAAGTAAATTTATTTCCCCTCTTCTGAGAGAAAAATCAAAAGCAAGAAGAAGGATCTTGGATGGTGAGTGAATGAATGAATGAATGGGACACTTATCATGGTGGTGCCTCCTTTACCCATTTGACCATCTTTTTGTAACCCACCCACGCTTTCTTTATTCTCCTTCTTCCTCCTCTTCTTCTCAAACTTCACTTCATTGTCCAACGATTCGTACACACGCTTAGAACTAAACCTTTAACCATGAAGATCCAATGTGACGTGTGTAACAAACACGACGCATCGGTCTTCTGCACCGCCGATGAAGCAGCCCTCTGCGACGGCTGCGACCACCGCATCCACCACGCCAACAAACTCGCCTCCAAACACCAACGTTTCTCTCTTCTTCGACCTAAACAACACCCTCTCTGCGATATTTGTCAGGTTAGTAACTAATGAATAAAAATCATTTTCAGATGTTCGAATTTGTTGAAGATGGATTCTTTTCTCTGTTGTAGGAGAGAAGAGCTTTCACGTTCTGTCAGCAAGACAGAGCGATTCTGTGCAGAGAGTGTGACGTGTCGATTCACTCTGTAAACGAACACACCCTTAAGCATGATAGGTTCCTTCTCACTGGTGTTAAACTTTCAACTTCTTCTTCGTCACAAGAAACTGCCTCTCCTTCATACTCAACCCCTGATTCTCTTCTGGACGTTACGCATCAAACAACAATACCTTTATCTTCCACCATGAATAAGGTTGGTGTTGAAGCAACGGGTTCCACAAGTGCTAGCAGCATATCGGAGTATTTGATAGAGACTCTTCCTGGGTGGCAGGTTGAAGACTTTCTCGATTCATATTCTGTTCCCTTTGGTTTCTGTAAGGTTTGCACTGTCTTCCTTTTTCTCCTCTTTCAACTACCAAAAGTAATTGATGCTTCTTCTTTGTTTTCTTTTTAATTATTGAAAACATAAATAGATAGATGATTTGGGTACTATAAATATTACGTAGATTACGAGATATTGTGGAGTTTCATCTTGATCTAAATTGATCGTTGATCTTTGATGTAGATCTTTCATTACATAGATTTTCAGATGAAATTTCAATTTTCATAGTATATCTAAAATTGTTATGTAGACTGGCATGATGAAACGCAATCATGATAAGAATAAGTGAACAACAAGCACTAATCAAACTGCATGAAAAGATTTTTTTTTTTTTTTTTTTTATGTTAATTGTGGTTGGATCTGAGATATGATGAAATGCAGAGTGACGAGGTGTTGCCACGGTTTGATGTTGACGTGGAGGGGCATCTCGGTTCCTTCTCAACGGAGAACATGGGGATCTGGGTTCCTCAAGCGCCACAACCTCTTCTGAGTTCTTCCCAGATGGATGGAGCGATTGGGCAAAGTGAGACCAATATGAAAGGTAGCAAATTGAGGTTGAAGGATGATAATTTCACAGTGCCACAGATGAGTCCTCAGTCAAATCCCAAGAGAGGAGGGAGGTTTCAATGGTAGAAGCAAACAAACAAGCCTCAGATTCCAATCTCCCAAGTCAGAATTAACAACCCTCTTCTTTTCTCTCTTACAGGCCTGTAGCTTACTCAGTCCGTGTTTTAAATTTGGTCCTGTTTGACTTTTTCTGTTCTTCTTTCCCCTCTTTCCCTACCTGGCTGTGTTTTGATAAAATTGTGCACCTGCACCTTTCTGCCATTGATTGTACATATAAACCTTTCCAAATGCACGTTGTTTTTGACACATGTGTTCGAAGAGAAACAAGAGTGTTTAGGAACATATCAGATTTGCAGGGTCAAAGTTGGTCAATAAAAAGTCATCTCTATAGTACATTTTAAGGCAAAAATAAAAAGAAAAATTAATAATTTTATTTTAGTTAATATTATCTTGAATTTCGGGTGTTTTTTAATAATAAAATCTTGATATATAAAACTCTAAAATGACCAATACCTTCATACGAAAATTGATACACTCAAGTTCTAATTCATCATTTATAATGTTGATAATATAAAAAATAATCATAAAGTGCTAACTATCTTTGGAATGTTGGTGAATACATACCTAATTTGTGGGTGATGTTGTTTAAAATGAGTGGCAATGTGTTTCAGTAGGGATTTTCAGTGTTGTGTGGCAGGTACTTTTGGTGAGGGTTGGTCATGGGAAGGGTTGTTGTTGTTGGGAAGGGTTGTTGTTGTTGTTGTTGTACGTAGGGTAGATGAAAATAAATGAGAGACAGAAAGGGTTGATGGAGCAGAAGATTTGAAGAGATGAATATGATATGATGATGATGATGACGACGACGACGTGACTGCAATGGTGATGGGATTGGCTAACAGAGAAGGACAGAGGGCGAAGAGTCACGTTTGGTGAAAAGGGTTTGAATGGATGGCACTCAACATGGAAATTCATCTGCGGGAGCATTCGAACCCTCTTTTCGTTGTGCTGATCCTGTCTCAAAACAACAAATTTATTGGAGAAAAATATATTTTTAATTTTTTAATATAATTAAAATATTTTATTTAATTTTTATATACTATTAATTATTTTATTAAATTTTTAATTATTATCAATAAAAAATATTAAATTTTTTATTACGTTAATCATTTTAAAAAAACATATAAAAAACATTTATTATTATATATTGTTCAAAATTCATCAAACAAAATTTACTTAACAAAACAATTTATTTATTATATTACTTTACTATAAGCATAAAATTTGTAAATTTAAAATATATTTTTAATATAATTAAAATATTTTATTTTATTTTTATATATTGTTAATTATTTTATTAATTTTTTTATTATTATCCATAAGAAAATATTTAATTTTATATTACATTAATCATTTTTAGTAATATGCATAAAAATAATTTATCAAAATATTATCTAAAATTTATTAAAAAAATTGTGAACAAATAATTTTAATAATGATGTTTCATGAAATTGAATATTTTTTAATTAAAAATTATATATATATATATATATATATATATATATATATATATATACTACTTAAGAATTTGTATCATAAAATCAACTATTTTTCAATATAATAATTAAAAAATATAATAGATAATTGATATTATTTATATATATATAAATTAATTATACTAAACTCATCAATTTTTTTCCTATGAAAAACATATTTTAATCTATTGCTATGGCTTCTAATCCAATCCTATTATCTTCTGACTTGCTATTCTCAATGTTTTTTCCTTTTTACAGGTATTTAACACTTCATCTAATCATATTAGCTTAGATGGAGTTGTAAATATCAAAATCTAATCAGTTTGATTTGAATATTAAAGAATCGAAATCATGAACAAATCTCATATTATTTTATATTTTTATAACGCTTAAAATTTAGGATTTTAATGTTCAAACATTGATTCAATTTATTTATTTTCACTGTTTACATTTTAAACTTTTAACAATTTTTTTTAATTTAAAATTTTTATTTTAATAATAAACCTTATCTTATTACCATATTCGAACACGTTGGAATAAAGTTAGAATTATTCTTTTTGGTTTTGACATATACACTTAAACAAATTTGATTGACACAAAATTAATTAAAACATGAGGAAATAGGAAAAAAAAGTAAGTATAAAAATAATATTTTCAGTTATAATAATATATAAAAACATATTATAAAATTATTGTTGATATTATAAATAATATATTTTTAGTATTTATTTTTTAAACGTTGAGATATTTATATAAAAAAATAGAAAGTATCTCTTATTATAATTGTTATATCTAATTAGTATATATTTTTAAAACAAATATTAATTTAATTATTAGAAAATCTTCTATAGGTGAGTTTGTATTTTTTTTAAGATCAAAGAAGATATTATTTCATCTTCGTATATCCAACCCAATATCTAAAGGATTGTTAATTTCTTCCAAATGGAGCTTAGTAAAACATTTTCATCGGCCAGTCACTTCTGGTGGTGTGGACTTAAAAGTCAAATCATATCTAATTCAACAAAAATATCAATTAGGGATAGTAAAAACTTAGTTCCGTGTAAGTCTATCTGAAAAAAATGATCGGGTTTTTTATTTTACCGGATTAACTCATTTTATCTCATTTTGCTAATTCGACCGATTAATAGTAAAGGATTAATGGTGAAATAAGATAGATTCATCTACTAAAAAAATATTTATATATTAAAATTAAAATAAAAAAGTTATAATTAAAAATATTATATTTTTTTATATTATGTTATATAAATATATAAATATTTTATAATATTATAATTTAAATTATAAAAATTAATTAATTAAATTAAAATTATTGATCATAATTAATTATTTTGACACATAAATATACTATTTTTTTCAATTTATCTAATAAAATATTAATTAGTAAATAAACACTTTAAAATTATTCATATAATTAAAGACATATTAAAAAAAATACATATAATAAATTTTATATAAAACAAATTATTGACGAGACAATATGGGGTTTATAATCCGTTCGACTATGGTGGACCAACTTGCCTATCCCATATTTGGCAGGTTAAAGATGAGGTTGGTTGGTCCGTTTTACCATCCTAATAGAAATGAATCCTTTCTCTATTGTTTACCATCTCAAAAAGTATATGGAAGGGGTAAAAAAAATATCACTTAAAATATAAAAAAATTGCAACATCAAAATGAAGAAAAATACCAATGATTGAAAAGAAAGTACTGAATAACTTAGAACTTATTAAAAAACATCAAAACAAGTTCTAAACCTTTAAAGAAAAAGTAAAGTATTGACTAGACTAGACAACGAATAATAAGATGAGACAAATCTAACATCCCAAATGATGGATCAACTAGCCCTAACGAACATTTGAAGATGTGCATGTTAGAAAAATAATAATTATGATCCTGATTTTGATTCTAATGATCAAACATAAACATTATCTCATACTCATAAACATGTTGTAGACTGAATGCGAAAGCGTACCTGAATTAGCCATAATAATGATGTCCCTTTTAGAGCACTATTGATCTTATGGTCTTCCACCTGAAGAACACATTTATTTTCCCTCTAGATTTTCTCTCTTGATGGGGATAGAAAGAAAGGAACGGGAACTGAGACTTACGTTCTATGTGTGTACTCTCAGAAGGGGACCATGATCCTTTAAATAACCAGAATTAGGTTAATTACTTAAGTTTTAGTATTTCTAATTTGGCCCCTCATCAAATTAGAAATTACTTTATGGTCTCTACACAATTTTATTTTCATGACATATGCCTTTAGCCAAAATTTTAATTTAGTCAAATCATTTTATTATTTGACTTAATAAATAATGGCCCTAACACATTTAAATTATGTATCATATATATACATGACCCAAAATTTGCCAACAATCTCCCACTGATCACAAATATATATATGTCCTTACAACCTTATAAATATGTTAGACTTTATAAGCTCAAAATTTTCATTATATTCCTTTAGCATACTCTAAAAGTTTCATCCATTGATCATATCAGGATATAGAACCAAACCAGTTTTTCATTGTATCATCGCAACTAAAACTAACAATGATTACTAATCCTGACATAACCAAATGACATGGATTCATCATAAAATGTGTAGCATGAAAATTTACGTGAAGGTGATATGTACACGTCTATTTCAACTAGTCTAAACTTTAACTTATCGAGATCGATATAATAAACTTAATGTACAAAGTGTAATGAATGAACGAAAAACCGCATATCTATAGATAACCAAATATGTCCAAAAAATCAATGTATACATCCATGAAATTAAACATAGAATATAAAATATATGAAAATGACTAATTCTCACTAAACCACAAATTCTTCAACTGTAAAACACCCATGTGAGCAACATGCTCATGAAAGACTTTGGGCGGAAGTCCTTTAGTTAGAGGATCTGCTATCATGGAGGTTGTCCATAATTGTTCTATGGAAATCTGTCCACTCTGTACTCTTTCCTTAACAACTAGGAACTTAATGTCGATGTGCTTTGACTTAGTCGAGCTCCTATTGTTGTCGGAATACAATACAACTGATTTGTTGTCACAATATAACTTAAGTGGTCTTTCAATGCCTCTCACAATTTGCAACCTTGTGACAAAATTTCTCAGCCATATTCCATGATTTGATGTCTCATAGCATGCTACAAATTCTACTGCCATAGTGGATGAAGCTGTAAGGGTTTGCTTGACACTATGCCAAGAAATTGCACCACCTGCCAACATGAAAATGTAACCTGAAGTGGATTTAAAACTATCTTGACATCCTGCAAAGTCTAAGTCAGAAAATCCAGCGATCTCCAACTGGTCTGACCTCCTGTATGTGAGCATATAATCTTTTGTTCTCTTTAAATATCTCATGACCCTTTTTGTTGCTTTTCAATGGTCTATTCCTGGATTGCTTAAATATCTGCCTAGAACCCTAACTATGTATGCTATGTCTGGACGTGTACACACTTGGGCATACATCAAACTCCCTACAACTGATGCATAGGGA